AGCCCAAGTATTTTCCTCCTTCCTTCCTGCTAAGTATAGTTTTAAAAATGTGGTCATTATATATGTATAAAATATATAAAAATAAACATAAGAAGAAAGGAAGACTATGAAAGGTAGAAGAAGACGAACATTGAGACCAGTGAAGGAGGATAAGGTGGTGAGTTTCTTAAGTTTTCTTCTTTCAAAAGCTGGAGAAAGGTAAAATTGTCTAGGTGTGGGAAGGTAAAATGTTTCCAGTCAGATTTGATCCAAATAAGACTACAACAAGATGTAATTAAACTGTTAAAAGTCAAAGACACAGGGGATTCTTAAAACAACAAGAAAAAAAAGGTAAATCACATAAAAAGGAGCTCCAATATGTCTAGCGGTGGTTTTCTTAGCAGAAACCTCACAAGCCAGGAAGAGAATGGATTGAAATGAAAAATTGTGAGGAAAACAAAAACAAAAACAAAACTACCAACTAGCAATACCTGACCCAGTACAGTGTCTTCCAGAAGAGACAGACTTTCCCAGGCAAATAAAAGCCGAGGAGATTCTCCACCACTAAACTTGTCTTACAAGGAATGCTAACAGGAGTGTTCTTCCAGCAGAAAGGATCCCCATTAGTAACATGAAAACATATAAACTTAATGGTAAAAATTTACTGGTAAAATAAATGCACAACAAATTCAGAATTATCTAATACTGTAATGGTGGGGTGTGAATCACTTTTATCTTTAGTATGAAGGTCAAAAGGCAAAATGACTAAAAACAACAGTAGCTGTAACAATTTGATAGAGGTATGGAATATAAAATATGTAACTTGTAATAACAAAAAAATAAAAATGTGAAAGAGTTAATAAAATTAAGGGACTTTTTTGGCAATCAGTCATAATGGAAACAATATGAAATTTATAAAAAAAAATAAAACAGAACTATATGATGCAGTATTCCCACATCTAGATATACCTCTAAAGGAAATGAAATCAGTATAAAGAAGAGAGATCTGCCCTCCATGTTCACCGCAGCATTGTTCACTTGTTCACGATAGCCAAGACATAGATCGACCTAAGTGTCCATCAAGAGATGAAGAGATAAAGTAAATATGGAATATATTCAGGATGAAATATTATTCAGCCTTAGAAGGAAATTCTGTCATTTATGATAATGTGAATAAACCTGAAAGACATTATGTTAAGTAAAATAAGCCAGACCTAGAAAGATAAATACTATATTATTCTTGCTTATATGTAGAATCTACAGTGAGTCTCATGGAAGCAGAGAGTATAATCAATGATATTCCCAACAGCAGGCATAGGAGGAGGTCAGGGAGACGTTGGGTCAAAGGAAACAAAATTTTAGTTCGAGAAAATAAATTCTAGAGATCTACTGGTACACTGTGGTGACCATAGTTAATAACAATACATTGAATACTTTAAAAATGGTAAGAGCAGATTTTAAGTGTTCTCACCACAAAAAATATAGGCGATAATACGTACATTAAGTAGTCTGATTAAGCCATTTCACAAAGCATATGCACACCAAAATATAGTGCTGTGTATCCTAAATATATACATTTTTTTACTTTTTAATTAAAAAATCATAAAGTAAATATCTCAAGCTACAATCTAAGATCTTACCTAAAGTACATAGAAAAATAAGAGCGAAGTAAATTCAAAGCAGATAGCAGAAAAGAAACAACAAAGATAAAAGAAGTAAATGGAATTAAAATAAGAAAGATCAATGAAACCAAAACTTTGTTCTTAGAAAAGATCAATAAAATTGACAAACCACTAGCAAGACTGACAAAGAAACAAAGAAAAAAAGATACAAATATCAAAAATGAAACAGGGATATCATCACAGATCCTGTAGACATCAAAAGAATAATAAAGGAATATTATAAAGAAACTGCATACATATAAAATTTGACATTTTGAGGTAAAAATGGAGCAATTCCTTTAAAAGCTCAAACTATCACCTCACCCAACATAAATCATTTGACTAGCCCTGTAACTCTTGAAAATTGATTGCATAATTTGAAAAATCTCTCCCTCCAATTATCCTAGTCTAAGTGACTTCACCAGAAAATGCTAACATTTAAAGAATTATATACCAATTCTATGTGATCTTTTCCAGAAAAATGGAAGAGAAAACATTTCTTGATTTATTTTATAAAGCGAGTATTATCCTGATACAGAAACCAGACAAAAGCAATTAAATAAGAAAACTTCATATTCTTTACGAGTTTCATAAAAATCCTTAATAAAATATTAGCAAACAGAATTCAGAAGATTTTAGAAGGAATTGCATGCCATGACTAAAAGTGGTTTATTCCAGAAATGTAAACTGGTTCAATACTGAGAAGTCCATTCACAAAAATCTACCATATTGACAGATGAAGAATAAAAATCATATAAAACCTATGCAAAAAATGGATGAAATTCGACCAAAAATTCTTGAAAAATTAAGAGGGGAATGTCCTCACCTTGATAAAGGACATTCACACACACACACAGGGAAAAAA